TCTTTTGAATACCCTATGCATCTCCTTAAAATGCTCTGCTGCTCTTTGGAATAAACACAAAGATAAGTCAATTTTATATTTACTTGTAAATGTGTATCTTTCCTCAGAGGAAGCAGATTTTATCCCCTCTTCTATTATTCTCAGGATTTCATGGAAATAACTCGGATTGTAATCATGTTGTTGCCTCTGAAGATTTTTCATAGTTTCAGTAAATCTTGAAGTAACATGCTCAGTGGTTCTCATTATGGACTCTTTGTCATATTCCTCTAAATGCTTTGTAAAGAAGAGTAATTTCTTGCTCATTTTGATATGTTCATCATAATTGACTTGAAATGGTTTTCCAGACTTTTTCTTCAGTATGTAAACCATGCCTTTCTCCTTTTTAAAATACTCCAAAAGGATGCTTTCAGAATCCACATCAATGTCAGGATCTGTGACTGGAGGGAGAGTTGAGGATACAGCGTAGACCCATTTTTCCCAAAGTTGATTGAATTTTTTAAATAACTCTTCCTCACTAAATTCCTTGTCCTTTACCTCTGAAGCCAATTTTCTGCTTTTTTCCAATAATTCCTTTTCATAACGTGCCTTTTCATTATCCAGCCTTTCCTGACCCTTTTTATAATTAATAAGTCCTTCGACTTTTCTTTCGCTGTCTAAAATAAGAGCCTCTTTAAGGATCAGTAGCTTATTTTCAAAATTTGCTTTCCACTGAATCAATATTTCACTCTCTGAATCTTCATTAAAATATTTTTCAAGTTCTTGCTTGATGGCTTCATATTTTTCAGCTACTGGAGCCTCAACTGTGCTTGTTCTGAGGGTCTGGATTTTTCCATTTTGAATCTGGTTGATCAGCTGGTTCTGCAGGCCTAGCACATGACTCCTCAGCTCCCAGGTCCAGCTGTTATACATGGTTTCCAATTTGCTCATGGCCATGACCTCTCGGGTGTTCCTGAAACTGAAAATAAAGTTCTCATTCACCAGGGCTCTCCATAAATCTTGAACTCTTGATTTTACATCCGATATCTTCATGATGCTCCCCCTGGATTGCTGTTTGGCAGTCATAAGAATTCTAGTTTTCAGTTCCTGGACGTTGTGACTGTAGCGAGGATTGGGAGGGGCCATTGGGGGATTGCCATCCCAGAGGTGAGCGAAGTAGTAGACATGAGTATTGACATCAAAGTTAATGACATCACTAAAGCGGGATACATCTGAGCACTGTTCTTGCTCAGCCG